TTCAAGCTGTTTGAAGCCACTCTCCAGCTGCTGCTGAGCCCGCCGTCCTTCCTGGAAGTGCTGTGGAAAGGAGGGCGAGAAGGCTCACCAGGGTTCCGGCAGGTGCCCTCGGCAAGACCCAGGGAGTGGGGCCCTCACCATCTTCCTCTCCTGCTTCATCTCCTGCGAGTACTTGACCAACTCAAGACACACACGCACGCTGAGGTTCTCCGCCACCAGTTCCCGCTGGCCTGCGAAGTCATTCACCTCCTGGAGAATCTGCACAAAGGACTGCTGCTGGCTAAACCTGGGACCGGGGAGAGGCTGGGATTCAGGTTCTCCAGGAGCAGGATGCCCTAGGACCCGTCTCCAGGTGAGAAGGGACACGCCCCGAACATTCATCCCCAAAGCAATGATAAGTTCTGATCCATAGTCCTTATCCTCAGCCCTTGATTCAGATGTGATTTAGAACTCAGCATCCTGGGGACTTGGGTAAAGGGGTATAACTCTTATACAATGTAGATGCCATGGCACAGTTGTTCACTGTACTGTTAGGAATTGATGACAAGGGGGAACAGTCTGTGTAAGTTCAGTACAAGGACAATTTTTATTACTAGAACATTTTCAATCCTTGGATATAAAGAACAACAATAWTCACACTAAGTAGGATAAAAAGACTAGAATCAACATCAAGTCAGTTTTGTTGGGGATTGCTGTCAAGTTACCACAGAACAACAACAACAAAAAAAACACTTGTTTGATTTCTAGAGTTTTTTAGATTTTGGAATGGGAGACTCAGAATGAAGAGACACGTTCTGACAGTCACTGTGGGCTGGACCCTTTTAACACTTTAACCCAGCTGTCTTCACACAAGGCCATGGTCACCGGTCCCATTTCCCAGATGAGGAAAACAGAGGCATAGAGAAGTCACTTTCCCAAAGGCACTCATTTTGCAAGAACCAGAGCATCCTACTTAGCAGAYGAGAGAAGGAGAAGCAGAGAACTTGAGCCCCACACCCAAGGTGGCTGGCTAGGAGGAGCAGATTTGGGACAGTGGGGGTCATCCCCCTCTCCATCCTTACTTGGATTCAGGGTCATCTTTGGCAGGTCTCTTGGGCAGATATTTCTTCACGAGGTTCCTAAAGGAAGACAGAGGCAGGAAGGCTGAGCCACCCAGCCTCAGACCACCCCTAGTTCTGCGCCAAACCGGCCCAGGGTCTCACCGCAGCTGCTTAGCATAAGCTTGCTCCACCTCTGTGCGTTCTTTCACGAACTTCACGTATCTGTCCAACAGGTCCAGCCCCCACTGCGTGTGGCGCTCGAGCACCTCAAACTGATCCTGATGGCGAGCATGGAATGGGGAGGGCCAGGGTCACGACCTCRGGACCCCACTTCGGGCCCACCGACCAGATGCACTGGCAGCCTCAAAGCCCTGCGCTCCAAGGAGGAGTGGCTTCCCGGCGCCGCCCCAGCGTGGCGCAGGAGGCAGGAAGCTGGCGGGAACCCCCTCCCCTTCCCGGGAAGGGCCAGAGAACAGGGCTGGGGCCCCTGCAGGACAACAGGGTCTTGGTCTCCCAACGGCCTAGAGGGGTGTAAAATTTGGAAAGGCTCCTCCCACTGCCCGGGCTCCCCTAATCCCCCCAGATACCGGAAAATCCGGCTGGCCTGGCGTGAGTCAGGGCCAGAGGGGCAGGGTTTGCAGCAGCTAATGGAGAGGGGGGAACTTCGGAACAGCCAGGGGGCAGGCAGACACCAAGTTCTCTGATTCGGAGTCCTCGGATGAGTGACTCAGTTTCCCCATTAACTCCACTACGCCTCCAAAAATAATCCCACAGTGGGAGAGGAGGTGGCGATCTAGCTACCCTGCTGCACCCAGGAACCTAGGGATTCCGCCGCCCCCAGAAAAGGGAGGGCTCTGAGGTCCAGCTTGGAGAGGGGGAAATTTCTGGGGCTTCCTGRGTGAGATAAGAGGCAGCCGAGGGGCAGCCCCGCCCTCGAGTGTGAACTGGGGAAGGGCCCAGAGGGGTCAGGGGCCGAGCCTTGCAGCCCCCTCCCCCTCCAGAAGCGTTCCAAGCCCCTAGGTGTAAGTTAAAGGAGACTGAAAGGCGCTCAGTACTAGTAGGTCCCACGTGGGGAAGAGGATGGCCAGAGGGTCCCCTCCCCCTCCCAGTGGGACAGGCGGGCTGCGGGCAGGAACCCAGGGGCCGTAAGATAAGCCGCCGGCCTGACCAGGGCGCTCAAAATAGGTGACCTCGCCGGGCTGCCCCGGCCTGGTCCTAGAACTTCTTTCCGCCTCACTCTCAACCAACCCGTGCCTCAGTTTCCCTACGCCAGTCCTGCAAACTCTCTCTTAGTCTCTGGGCGTCCAGAGACTCGCTGAAAACTCTGAGAGAGGACGCGCGGTAAGAGGGTGGGGACCCAGGGGTCAGTGGAAGGGAAAGTGCTGAGTCCCCGCTAAGGTACAGTGGGGACAAAGGGGGAAAGTCTGCACTCCAACAAGGGAGAACTTGGAGTCGGGTCGACCGGACTCACCCACAACTCGGTGCCCCAATCCATGCTGCTCCCGCCGCCGAAGCCGCCGCCGCCGCCGCCGCGCCCGGTCCCCGCTGCCCGCCGCCCGCCTCCCGCCTCCCGCCGCCCTCCGCGGGGAGACTCTGCCCCAGGCGGTGCGCCCGGCCCCGCCCCGATTCGCTCTGCCACGCCCACTCTATGTCATGCCACGCCCCTTCACGATTTGCCACGCCTCCTGCCCCGCGCGGATCGCAGCTCGGCGCCCCAAGGGCGGGGCTACGAGAAGGCGGGCCCAACGGACGCTCCGCCCCACTAAAAGAAACGTTGCGGCCCGCAGCCACTGGACCGACTCCTTAAAGGACCCCCACCCATTTTCTAAATCTCTGGGGCCCCTCTCATCCTCCCACCTCCTCCCCCGCCGCAGATGGTTCTTCCCTTCCCCCTTTTTCCTCAATCGTTCCTTAAAGGGCCAAGGCACTAAAACCCCCAAAGCCAAGTCCCTCCCCCATTCAGTTGAAGGGAGAACCTGAGGTCACCCGGCTCTTGCGGGACKACCCGGCTCCAGGCGTCTACGTTTGTCCCACTAATGGTCTGGTTCCTCCGGCCACAGGACGGATGGGAGGACTTCGATCCTGCCCAGGACGTGCCTCCGCCAAGGCCGGGTCCATTAGCGCCCCCACCGCATCCTGCATTCTCTCCTCCAGAGTCTCCACTGGGAAACTGAGGACGAACTGTCCTTGGGGCGCCTGTCCCAGGCCTCTCCCCCGCTCCAGTGCAGTTCATGCTTGCACCACCCCATTTTCCGGTCTCATCCATGAGCCCAATCAGGTTTCATTAACATTACTGATCCTAGGATCTAACACGGCCCCTCCCCTAGATACTGGAGCCCTGGGGCTTGGAAGTCTGTATCTTACTCCCATAAAAGTTGGTTCACACCTTGTAAATCCCCTTGAGGCTCTGGGATGAAAGGGAAGAAGTGCCAGTGGTGCCACCCATTTGGCACACAGATAGCACAGATAACAGACGCCCAGATGGGGCTGCAGGAGGAATCTGCCCCCCCCCCATCTCCTCCCTTGTCAAGGCTCCCAACCTACACTGGAGTTGTTGGCTCCGCTGGGACTGGGCCCCAGCTTCTGGTGACTTCTGGGCTAGATACCCTTTGATTGCAAGGTGGGATTCAGTGGCTCAGTCAGGGACTGGGGCCCAGCCCAGCAAAATTCTGGGCTCAAATCTGGTCAGAGACTCAAACTGGATTTGGGATTCAGCCCAGATTAGCCCCATGGTTGGGATGGGATCTCAGACTGGAGTAGGAAGCTTACCAGAGGTGTCAGCAATGCAGGAACTGAAACTACGGTCCAGAAGAAGGAATAATCTGGAGTCAGGGCTGGTTTATACAGACCAGGGGCTCAGCCGGAGATTAAGGCTCAATGTGCACGGGGAGCGGGACGTTCGGGTTTGGTAGGATGTGAGAGAGGGTCAAGGTTTCAGGCTAAAGCTGAGTTTCAGCAGCAACAAGGGGTTAAGCCTGAATTCTGCAGGTGGACCTCCAATTACTTCACTCTGGGACGTAGCTTAGTCTAAGATTGGAGACTCAGCCTGGGGTCACGGGTGATCCAAGGGTCAAGACTTAACCTGGGGCGAGGCTTTGGCCTCTCTGTGGACCAGGAAGATTAGGAGAACAGAACAGCCTCAACAGATGCGTGTGTTTACCCAAAGCTTAAGCTCTGGCTGGGAGCCACATCCCCAGAGTAAGAAGCGGAAGTCTGTCCTTGGGGATATTGGGAAACGTAGTTCTTTTACGCCTTGTCCAGTGCGTCTGCGTCCGCTGAATTCTGGGTAATGTAGTCCTGGACCGTTAAGAGTTAGGTCAAGGAATTCCGCTTTAAGGGCCGGATATCAGGTCCAGGTTAATTGGTTAGACGGACTGTTTATCAAATTATATCCGGGACAATCTTTCTAGTGATTGGTGAAAGTGGAGGTGGGGTTAAGGGATATTAGTACTCCTATTCGGAGCTAGTGCTGTCCATCTAGTGTCGCATAGGCGCGGTCCATCGAGGAGATGATAGCTGATTGGTTGGGCGGGCTGGAAACTCCTAAGAGTTCGGCCCCCTGGTGCGGCGATTGGTTGGCTGGTAGGCGGGCTTGTGGGCGTCAGAGGCGGTGTCAGGGGAGGCGGCAGCTCCAGAGATGGCAGTGAGCGAGAGGAGGGGGCTCGGCCGCTGGAGCCCCGCAGAGTGGGGGCAGCGGCTCCTTCTGCTGTTGCTGTTGGGCGGCTGCTCCGGGCGTATCCACCGGCTGGTGTTGACGGTGAGGCCCGCCGCTCGGCGGTCTGGGGTGKCGGGGCGCAACTTTGCCCTGAGAAGCCCCTGGCTTGGAGTGGTCTCGTCCATCCTCCCCCCTCCTGAGGCGGGATGGAGCAGTCTGACGCCCCCCGCTGGTAGGCCCGGAGTGGTTTCGTCCCAGAATCTCTCTCCGTRTTGGTGACGAGTCACCTGGCCAGTCACGCTAGAGTCGTGCCTGCGCATCAGGGCTGGGGCTCTCTCTCTCGGGACCCTTCGCTCTAAGCCCTTTAAGTTCTTGGGCTCACTTTGGGGACATTAGGGTCCCTTGGTGCCATTCAGAGGAAGTCCTGAGGATTCTCGAGTGGGATCTTCGGGACATTCGCTGGGATCTTGGGGGCTTAGCCGAAGTCTCAGCCCTCGGGTTCCAGTTGGGATCTGAAAGTTTTCAGGAGGTGAAGGCCAGGCTCACTGAGATGAATCATGACTTTCAGAGTGGTTCTCAGCCAGTGAGGGCCAGTTGCCCCAGCGTTTCTCTTCCTGGACTACCAGAACTGTAGTTGGAAAATCCAGGACCACCCTGTCCCTGTCCTGGAGTGGTTCGGGGACACACCCTGCGGAGAGGTCTTCACATCCTCTCTTGTCACCCTCTAGGCCTGTCCTAAGTAAAGAGGACTGGGAGGCACGAAGACGTCCAGCCAGAGCCTTGGGGCTGGGCTGGTACAAAGAAGTCTGAGCTGTTTCTACCTCCTTGGTGTCCGGCAGGGGGAGAAGCGAGCAGATATCCAGCTCAACAGCTTCGGGTTCTATGCCAATGGCTCCCTGGAAGTGGATTTGAGGCTCCTACGACTGGACCTCCAAGAGACAGACGAGAAGGCCCCCTTGGTGAGGGGCTTGGAAGGGGGCTGGGTGCACAAGCTTCACCCCTCCTCCTCCAGTTCTGGATTCCCATTCTAGTTCTGCCCCTCACTCATGTGATCATGGGCAAGTCCCTTGGCCTCTGAGCCTCAGGTTTTTCACTTGTCACCTGGGAATAATAATATCTCATGTGATATGTGCTAGGCTCTCTCTCTCTCTCTCTCTCTCTCTCTCGCTCTCTCTCTTTTTTTTTTTTTTTTTTTTGATTGCAGTACTTGGGATGCAACCCTGGGCCTTGTGCATGCTAGGCAAGCCCTCTACCACTGAACCACACCACAGCCCCTTTTTTATTTTGAAACAGGATCTCTCTAAATTGCCCAGGCTGGCCTCAAATTTTAATCCTCCTATCTCAGCTTCCCGAGTAGCTGGGATTACAGGCATCACACCTGATTTAGACACTGTTCTTAATGGGAGGGGAGGACAGCCCCAGTCCCGGGAGTCAGAGTGAATGACTAGCATCTACTGATTCCACCAGGACCAGGTCCTCTGCACAGCAGTCTCTTTGGACTCCTTCCYTCTTAACTATCTCTCAGGAATGCTGTGGAAATTCACTGAATCCAGGTTTCAGGGGATGGCCCCAGCTGGGAGGTACAGGACTTGCTCAGAATCACACACCCTGAAAAAGACAGAGCTTCATGTCAGGTCCTGGTGTGAACTCCAGGGCCCAGAGCAGAAACCCATCAACATTTTAATTTGTGGGAAACCGGGTGAGCTGTTGAAGTTCTCCTTGAGGAAGTGCCATGCAGATTGAGAGATATGGGATGGCTGGAGATGAAGGAAGAGGAGGGGGGGGTGGAGATGGGTTGTTGGGAAACTCAGAGAAAGAGTGTGGGATCTGGGCACACTGCAGGTGTTCAGTAAATGTGAAGCCACATTTCTGTTGCTGGGAAAGAGGTGGCTTGAGGGGTCCCTCCTGGAGTCCCTCACATCTTCCTTCTTTGTTTACACCCACCAGGTGGGGTTCAGCCTGAGCCGGGTTCGATCTGGCGGCATTCGATCCTACTCAGTGAGTGGAGAGGTGGGGAGGGAAGGAGGGACTCTGGGGACTGGAGGATGTCTGTCTCCTGCCTCTAGAACCCATAGTCCCTGGTTGTTCCCCAGAGGTGGGGACAAGAAGAGACCCGGGGGAGGTAAACAGGGTGGGGCTGCACCAACCCGTAGGAAGGGGTAACCCCTGCTCCTTCTTGCCTGCTCACCAGACCCGGGATTACCATGACTGTCCTCTACAAAGAAACAGTAGCAGCTTCCTGGTCCTGTTCCTCATCGACACCAAGGGTCTGCAGTGAGTTGGGGCACGACTGGCTAAAGATCCAAGTCGGGGTTTCCTGAGTGTGATACCCACATGTGCCGAGCTGATCAGGAGGAACAGGAGCTCAAAAGACCCTGGAGTCTCCTGGGAGGAGCCGCTCCTGTCCAGTGTCTGCTTCAAGCCTCTGATGATTGGGAGGAAGGAGAGGGAGGTGCTCAGGGAATGTTGGGGGCTCAGCAGAAGACCAGGTGCAGCTTGGGAGACGGGCAGCATTACAGGCTGTCGTCCTTGCTGAATGCCTCCTGCGCTCCAGGAGGTGCCCCGGGAGCTTTAACGTGTGTGAACTCATTGATCCTTCCATTGTGCTTATGCCCATTCTTCAGAGGAGAAAACTTGAGTCTTAAGAACTGGGATTCAGACCTAGGCAGCCTGGTGCCAGGGACTCTCGACCCCATGTTGCCTCACTGTGGGTACAACATGAGGTGCTAACGTGGAATGCAGGAGTCGGTGTGGAGGGACGGGTAGTGGCCAGTGCAGCCAGCAGAGCGGTGAGGGGTTCGCCCTGATGGGTGATGGTTTATGCTGGGGTCAACCTGGTGACCCCAGGCTCAGCCAGGTGCTGTCCCCGGGGAGGAGATGCAGAGCGCCTGAGGGGCTCTCGTMCTTCAATGCAGGTGTGTGCCTGACCCCAGGCTTCAGGCCCCTGCTTCTCACCCCAGGGTCCAGGTACGAAAATATGGGGAGCAGAAGAAATTGTTCATCTCTCCTGGGCTTCTCCCCGAAGAGACTTCCAAACCAGCGCTTCCAAAGCCAGAGCCCACAGTCACCCCTGAAGTAGACAGTGGTGAGTTAGGCTGCCTGCCAGGGAGGAAGTTGGGCAGGGTCACACTGTGGATCCCCCTACTTTTTGCTGTCCCTCTGACTGTTCCTCTTAAAATCACTCACCTGTCTCCTACAGGAACCTCCACAGTCAACAAAGCCAAGGCAAAACTCGCAGTGTCTCAGGTTCGATGAGCCAGGGTGGGAGGGAGAGAGGCCTAGCCCAGGGGTGCATGGGGACCCGAGCCTGGGCCATCTGGAAAGGCCAGCTGATGAAGGGACTCTGTCCCTTCAGGACCCCAATGGGAAGGACAAGGAGCTGGTGTTGGGCCTGAGCCACCTCAACAACTCCTACAACTTCAGCGTAAGTGTGTGTGGTGCCTGCAGCCTGGTCTCCCCCGACAGCTGGGGACCCCAGGCTGAGCTCATCTCTCCCCTGCCCAGTTCCACGTGGTGATCGGCTCCAGGGCAGAGGAAGGCCAGTACAACCTCAATTTCCACAACTGCTACAACTCCATGCCCGGCCGGGAGCGTCCATTTGACATCACTGTGAGCAGAGGGGTAGCAACTGGCTGCTGTGGTTGCCACAGGCCAAGAGCACCACCCCAGCGTCACTTCTTAAAATCCTCCTGGTGGCAGTGGTGGGAAATAGCACCCGTATGGTCGGCCCTCCGTGTCCCGTCAGAGGATTCACCAACCGCAGATTGAAAGCGTTAGGGGAGAACGTTGCATCTGTGCCAAGTATATAGACTTTCCCTGTTCTTAACCCCTAAGCAGTACGGCACAGCCGCATTTGCTCCAGGTGCTGCGTCATCTAGAGATGACCGAGAGTCTGGGGGAGGCTCTATGCACATGCTACACCATTTTACATAAGGGACTGGAGCCTCTCAGTCTTTGGTGTCCACCAGGGTCCTGGAACCAAACCCTCAAGGAATACCAAGGGATGGCTCTGTACCCCCTGGAGAGATGGGGAAGACTGAGGCTCAGAGGCCAGTTTCCCAGCCAGAAGTAGGAGAGCTGGAGACTTGCCGTACTGGCTCCTCAAGTCCAGAGCTAGGCCCTGCGACCACCTGCCCCCTCCCTAGGTGATGATCCGGGAGAAGAACCCCGACGGCTTCCTGTCTGCTGCTGAAATTCCCCTCTTCAAGCTGTACCTGATCATGTCTGCCTGCTTCCTGGCGGCTGGCGTCTTCTGGGTGTCCGTGCTCTGCAGGAACACGTAATGCCCTTGTCCACACCCACCACCACTTCCCGCCACAGCCCATCCCTACCCTCTACTGATGCTCTCCGGGCCCTTTCTCCCCAACCCTCTGCCAGGTACAATGTCTTCAAGATCCACTGGCTCATGGCGGCCTTGGCGTTCACCAAGAGCATCTCCCTCCTCTTCCACAGTGTGAGCGCCCAGGCCAGGCGGCGAGGGGGGGCCGGGAAGGTGGGATGCTCCAGGCTCCCCCCAGCTCTGCAGGCCTGGGTGTCCAACTCTGCAGCTGTCTTCCCATCTCATTTGTCTGCCTGTCCTGTCCAGCTCCCACTGTCCACTCTCCAGTCTGACTGTCCCCTGGTCCAACTATGATTGTCCACATCACCGATTGCCTGGCCATCTACCCACCCAACTCTGCCTGTCCCTTTGCTGTTGTGGGTGATGACTGTCCATTTTGAGTCCCCCCCCATCCTGATGATAACCGTTCAAGTTTTTACACCCATCCCATGGGATCGCCCATGTCCCCAACACCCCCACCAGCCACCCACCCAGGCATCCCCCGGTCTGACTGTCCACCCGTCCGTCCACCTCCAGATCAACTACTACTTCATCAACAGCCAGGGCCACCCCATCGAAGGCCTCGCTGTCGTGCACTACATCACACACCTGTGAGTGCCCCCTCTGCCGGGCCGGGCGTGCAGGGGCAAGTGGGCAGGGGAGGCCCCCTCATCAAATGCCCGTGCCCCAGGCTGAAGGGAGCGCTCCTGTTCATCACCATCGCCCTGATCGGCTCGGGCTGGGCCTTCATTAAGTACATCCTGTCTGACAAGGAGAAGAAGGTGTTTGGGGTGGTGATCCCCCTGCAGGTGCGTAGGGACGGCTCCCGGGGGGTGGGGTGCCGTGGCCATCAGAGGAGGGCAGGGGGCATATCCTGGTGGCAAGGTGGGAGCTCACATCCCACAGGAGTCAAGGGTACGTCAAGAGGTGACCACTTACCAGCCTGGCCATGCAGGTCCTGGCCAACGTGGCGTACATTGTCATCGAGTCCCGAGAGGAGGGCGCCAGCGACTACGGGCTCTGGAAGGAAATCCTGTTTCTAGTGGACCTCATCTGCTGTGGCGCCATCCTCTTCCCAGTTGTCTGGTGAGGACCCCGACTGCCGAGATCCTGCTCCCTACAGGAGTGGGCTTGTCAGAGCTGACTGCCCTCTGTCCCCTGCCCCGTCCCAGGTCCATTCGGCATCTCCAGGACGCGTCTGACACTGACGGGAAGGGTGAGGCCTGCTCCCGGGACTGAGTCCCTGGCCCCCAGCCATCTTCCTGCTGCAAGCCCTTCTTTCTGCCCCTGGAAGCCCCTCCCACCTCCTGACCCCCAGCCTCCTCTCCAGACTTTCTGGCCCTGGGACACTCCCCCAGGTGTCCTTCCTGCCCCCTCCCCTCTCCCCCTGGTCCTGCCCTCCGTGGCCCCTGACCCCCCTGTCTGTGCGCACCTCCCAGTGGCAGTGAACCTGGCCAAGCTGAAGCTGTTCCGACATTACTATGTCATGGTAAGAGGTCTGCCCTCATCATAGGGAGGCCCTGGGGAGGGGCCCGGAACCACCAGCCTCTGGGCACCCACCCCACCCTCTGTCCACCCCACTGGCCTTAATCTGTCCTGTCCCATGCCTGCCACGCCCCCGTAGGTCATCTGTTACGTCTACTTCACTCGCATCATTGCCATTCTCCTGCGGGTGGCAGTGCCCTTCCAGTGGCAGTGGCTGTACCAGGTGAGCCCTGGGGAAGCTTCGGTTCGAGGGAGGGTGGGCCCTACAGTGGGGGGTGGGCCCTACAGTGGGGGGTGGGCCCTACAGTGGGGGGGATGCCTGACTCTTCCACTCTGCCCCTTGTCCCCAGCTCTTGGTGGAGGGCTCCACCCTTGCCTTCTTCGTGCTCACGGGCTACAAATTCCAGCCAGCTGGGGACAACCCGTACCTGCAGCTGCCCCAGGAGGATGAGGAGGATGTTCAGATGGAGCAAGTGTAGGCCAGCTGAGTGGGTGTGGCCCGGGCTCTGGGGGCGGGGCCAGGCGAGGGGTGGGGCTCCGCTCAGCTCTTGGCTCCCAGCTCTCCRGCAGCTGAATGGGTGAAGACCGTTTGGGATGGGGTGGGGGGCCACGGCTGACCCGGGCTGCGTTAGGCCCACCGGAGGGTCAGCCAGGGTGGGCCTGGGCGTGGAGTGGCGGGCCAGGACTGCTCTTGGGGCAGGGCCTGGGTGGCCGAAGCAGAGTGCTCAGGCCTGGGGCAGCTCTGGGCAGGCCTGCCGCCCTTCAGCTCCCCACGGCCTTTTCTGCTGTCTGCCCCCAGAATGACGGATTCTGGGTTCCGGGAAGGCCTGTCCAAAGTCAACAAAACAGCCAGCAGGCGAGAGTTCTTGTGAAGTCTCTGCACCCCCAGCAGCGGCCTCCTCCCACCTGCTTCTCAGCCTGACACTCCAAAGCCTGTGGGAGCTGGGGGACCTGCAGATAAGGCACCCTGCTCCAGGGGCTACTGTCCCGAGAGGAGCCCATCTACAAGTTGGACTGCCCCTTCCTCCCAGCAACTGGTGGGCAGCCCTGTCCTCACCAGGGGACCCCACCCACTTCCAGCTGTACAATAAGGACCCCTCCGTTTCTGCTAYCCTGGTTTCTTGCCTTTCTGGGGGTTGAGGTCTCGGTGGAAGTTGTGTTTACAACCTGTATTTGCTTTACACAGTCAATAAATATTAATTGAGCAACTACCGTGTTCTGGGCCCCATGTCAGTGCTGAGGACAAAGCAGTGGCCAAGGCCCCCACCCCTTCCCAGCCCTCAAGGGTTCATGTTTCCTCAGGGTGGGTGGGGGGGTCAAGGAGAGGGACACGTCACCAGGCAGTTCCATCATGGGGCCATCAGACCTGGGATGAGCCACACAGGCCCTGACTCAGCCAGGAAGGCCAGGGAAAGTGAAGAGATGCCCAGGTGAGGGGTGGCATGTGCAGAACCTGGGGAGAGGGGGATGGGGATGGGAGGGCCCAGAGGTGGCCCCCACCAAGGGCAAAATGATGAGTAGCTGACATAGTGGTGGCTGCCTGTGCTCCGCCCCACATAASTGGACCTTAACTCATCAGGAAGACTGAGGCACAGAGAGGCTAAGTAACTCACTCAAGGTCACACCACGAGGGAGTGAGTGGAGACTAAAGGCTCAAAGCCAGACCATTGGCCCCTCTGAGGAGCTGTCCTTCACCACTGCACACACTGCCCATCAACAGCTGGACTCTGGGACCAACCTCTCTAATGTGCCATTTGCTGTGTGATCCTGGATCACTGACTTAACCTCTCTGTCCCATCAAATGGGACCTTGGAGTTGATTGAGTTTCATATGCAACAGTGGGTATGAGTGGCTGTGCCCAGGGCCAGCAACCCTGATCTCAGCGCCTTCACGGAACCCTGAGTGACTGCAGGTTGGAGACACCTGTGCACCCACTCAGGGCAGGTTCTCAGGACCCTGTCCTCTCTCCTCTCCCATGGGTCCCTGGGAACCCCTGGGATCTCTGAGAAACATGGAGGAGGCCACAGGCATGGGGCAGGCTGGGGAGAACTTCCTGTAAAGGGAAGCAGCCCAGACAGATCGGCAGAGCTGCCAGATGAGGAAGTCGGAGCCGTGCAGGCCCAGGAGGGCCTGCAGTGACACCCGGGTGAGCCTGGGGGCCGTCTGGGGCAGCAGGAGGAGCCAGGGAGGATCTAAAGCAAGAAGGCACGGGGCCATGTGAAGCAGTCTCCGGGGCCTGGTTCCTATGGGACACCCAGGGGTGCCAAATCAGAGTATGGCCAAGTCCCCTACGTCAAATGCTGCAGTATTCACAGCCTCCTGTAGACTTCACAGACGGGTGACACCAACACAGTGCAACTTGGTGGCCACAGCACTACACTGGACCAAGTCGCAACAATGTCCAGAAAAAAATTCTGTGCATGTTCAGAAAAGATGCCATTTCTTCCCCAAATACTTGCAGGTTGCTTGAATGCCTGCATGCGGGACCTAAAGGTATGGGCCTGATGCACCTGCTCAGAGTAAGGCCATTCAGATGCCCCATTACCTGTCAGCCAGCAGCCTGGCCCCGCCCAGATACAGAATGCTGGGCTGCCTGGGCCTCCACTGGGAACCCCCGCCCCTCCCTTGMTGGCTCATCTTGTCCACCATTCSCCTCCCAAGCCTCTGGACACAATGTGTACACATCTCGAGAAAGGCCACGAGGCCCAGGAATTCCCCTTCCTCCCAGGGGGCCTGGTCCTCTCCAGGCCTCTGGCTTCCCTTCTAGCCCCCTTGCCTGTGGTCACCAGGTCTGGAGCCCTCCAGATCCCCAGCACCACGAGCCTGAAGGGTGGCGACCCTGTATTGATCCTCCCCTCTCAGCCAGGAGACTTCTAGGCATTGGGCCCCTCCCAAGGGCACATAGCAGTACTGTCCTGTGAGCCACTGTTCAGATGGCTTAACTGAGGCTCCAGAAGAAGGAACCAATCCTTGCAGCAGGACAGGAGTCCCTCGTCAGCATTGCCAGTGCCCCAGTCCCCGTGTTTAGGGCCATCACAAAACCAGGAAATAGGGTGGCTGATGGGGGGAAGGAGTGGGGAAGTCATGGGGGCCACTGGGGATCAGTTTGAGCAAGTGTTTTCATCTTCTGTCTCCCTGAGAGGGTTTTGCAATCAAAGGGACAGAAGCCAGGTTTGCTCTAATTCTCCAGGCCTCCCCCACCCTGGCTCAGCCAGGGACAGTGTGTGGTTTACAGGAAATCAGAGCAAACTCCCCTTTAACCTTTTCAGTGGGGTTTGGAAACCACCTTTCCAGGGACCAAGACCCCCCACCCTCACACCATTCCCATTAACCCTTTAGCTCCTGTGATCAGGGGACAACACCTCTGAGCATCAGAGGTATGCAAATGTCAATGACACTGAGCTTCCAGTTTGTACCCAGGTTGCAAAAATCCAAAAGCCTGCCCACATGCTCTGGGGACCAGGCYCTGGGGAAATTGGCAATGCATTTCATGCAAGCTGAGCAGTGGGTAAATCACTACAGCTCCCAGGAAGGGGAACTTAGCGGTATCTAGCAATGTCAGCAGGGCATGTACATGTGGACCCAGCACCTTCTCCTGTAGTTGCAAAACAACTCATCTGCAGAAGGAGGCTGAGGCTCAGAATGCTTATCAGGAGCTGGCCCAAAGACCACAGCTAGGAAGCTCAAAGCTAGGAAAGGGAGCAGGTCAAGACCGTTCACTGCAAGAGTGTGATCTGCAACCACAGAAGTCTGTGTGCCCCTCAAGAGGACCCTGGATTCTTCCACACAGTGGGATAGGAAGTAGTTCCCTGTAAGAATGAGGAAGCTCTCTGAGCACCAGTGTGAAATGATGTCTAGGGTATAGTGTTCAGGAAAAAGCAAGGCGACCCCGGAGGAGAGAAGAATGGTATGCAGAATGTGTCCATAGCCCCAGACCCCAGTGCTCTCCATCACAGACTGTGAGTAGGGGAACAATCCTGCATGCCAGCTGACCTTGACCCTGAGATTTGCCATGTCAACGGACAGGGACTTTCTGTTAAGGGGGTTGGGGGCCATGTCCTCAAGTTACTAACCCCTGGACTTGCTGGCAACAGGGCTTGAAACCCTCAGGAAATGTATTGAGCAATCTGGGGCAGCCCCTGGGAGGGACAATCCACAGGGGAAGGAAGGGCTGAGTGGGGGAGAGGCCGAGTGGATAAAAGGAGCTCCCAGGGGCTCTGCTCACTCCTCCC